ATATATGTCAAAATCTACGAATTAAAAGTGGTCTAATATATTAAAATATTTTGAATTTTAGGAGCTTTTTCAATTTCACCGTATTTAATTTTTTTTATAATCTTATCCCAATTTTAATATTTTATAGTACTAGTACCTTTAATTACAATTAAAGATGAAATTATAAATAAAAAAGTATTTGGTAGGGGTTCTTCCTGAAAAGGTTCAGGACATAGAATTAATTATCTTCAAAGAGGGGCAGCCGACTCTACCTTAACAAATCACAATTGTACTTTTTTTTTTTTAAGGTATACAGACTCACATCCGTTTTAATGGTTCATAGTAAACCTGATTAATCCCTACTTGTCTTTGGAGGTAAATGGATTGGCTCGGGAAGAGTTTGTGTTGCGAAGGATCGAACCCATGACCTAAATTATAGTGATTAACTCCGAAATACTTTTTATTATTGAGCTATCCCATCCGGGTTGACAATTGTACTTGATATCTTTTTTTTTTTTTTTTTTCCTTTTGATGACCTAAAATTATAGCTGATCTAACTCCGAAATACATTTTTATTTTATTGGAGCTATTCCCTATCCGGTTGACAATTGCTACTTGAATCGTTCTTTTTTTTTTTTCCTTTTTAATATATATATACATATAAAAGTTTCATTATAAATATTTTTTCATTAATAAATTATTTAGATTTTTGAAAGCATTTATTTTTTTTTTTTTTTTTTCCTTTTAATATATATATACATATAAAAGTTCATTAAATATTTTTTCATTAATAAATTATTTAGATTTTGAAAGCATTAGGAAAGTACCAAAATAAGTTGAGATGTGAAGTTTGATGGAGAAAATGGTGAGAGTGAGACAGAGAGGGGAGGATGGTCCATATGACCCAAACCAAAAGCTACAAGTCCCCAAGGAAAAGTCACTAATGGTTGTGTGAGTGTACAACAAATTGGACCCTTGGAATTGGCTTGTATGTGGAATAGAAGGCAAGGTGGTGGTCCATTTGAATTGACTATGGACTTAGCTCCCAAGTGTCCTTCTAGAGGGCACTATTCCTTGTTTTGTCTAATTGTTTCTAGAGGGCACTATTCCTTCTAGAGGGCACTATATTATGTTCCCCTATAATAAGCATCACCACTCATCTACCCATTCAATTTTTACTCTTATTTTGTTATTAGTGGTTACTGGTGAGGTTTAAATTTTTAATATATAAGTTCTTTGGTTATTGGACATGGATAGAATTTCTTCATGAATCTATGACCAAAATAATTTTTGAAAAAAAAAAAAAAATTTTGTCTATGTAACTTGATTTGCAAATCTTACACGAAAATAATACAAAGTGTATGTCAGTAATTTTTAATGCACTTGTCTTTTATTTAGTACATGTGGGACAAATATACAATGCATTGAAAACATCCAAGTTTTAAATTTTTGTTTTGTATAAATCTCTTTCAATTTGTGTTTTCATCTTTATGGGGATCAAAGTCGCTAACCACCTCAACAATACCTGATTATTAATTGAAACCGCTAGCTTGATTGATAATTTCAGTACACTAAGACTATATGATGTATCTATATACGTTTTCAAACTAGTTGGGACTTCCAGAGTATTTTGAAAAATAATTTTCGGATCACAAACTTTAGTTAATTGTTTCTATTTTTGCATTAGTTGAAAATAAACCTTAATTTCTAACTTCTTTTTAATTAATTTCATGATAGATTGGATCTCTAAACCGAATAAATTCTATTTTAATTAATAAAATTAGAAGATTAATGAAGTGATACTTTCTAATGACAATCCCAAATCCCAAATTCTCTCTCCCTCTCTCTTGACTTCTAAAAATGGGTCTCCATGGTCCATTAGGTAGGTAGGATTGCTAAACATGAGAAACAAATTTCTCTTAATTAATTAGATATTACATATATGGGACTCTCCATCAACATGGAAAAATTAATTAACAAAAGATGAGTTGGTTGTATGTGCTAATTGACTCACAATTTGGATTTGATGAGATTTGTAGGGTTGCTTTGGTCCAACTATTAGTCTAGCGTGCTCACTAAATCTGTTCTCAACCAATGAAAATTTTCATTTAATTAACGCATTGACTTACTTAAATCAGATCCGTAACTCCACTCATGGATCAAATCAATGAAAATATAAATTTTATTGGAACGAAAATATTTCTTATTATACATTGAGAAATAAAAAAAGATATCATTGGTTAAAAAGAAAAGAGCAAAATTTGGAATTGTGAGAAGAGAATGTTAAAATATTTATGAATGATTAAGTAGGTAACAAAGACATTCTACACGAATAGAATGATTTATAAGTAGGGAAGGTATCTAATTAAACTTAGCTACTTCTCATATTATAATAAAAGGTTGCACCTTTTTAATAAAATCAAAGAGAGATACACCATCCCATGTGCCTCATCAACCTCATAATTTAAGCTTATAAAACGAGTGCGTTTAGCTAGTCTTTGTAGGGATCGTAGGTGGGTAAAGCCAATCTCAAGTTGATTTATTTAGTGATAAGCTTAAGATATTATTAGTAAAGCCAAATAAACATTAAATTAGCTAGTTAAAAGGGTTTAAAAGAGGTAATGCCAATTGATTAGTTTCCTTTGTTTAAAGTTTTAAGATTATAGAATTGATTGTAGCTCCATACATCGAGTGATTAGAACAAAGCAATAGATGACCTTTTGCAAAGTAACCATGTATTGTATTAAAGCATAGTTTGAATTTTAACTCTCTTTTACTATTTTAAACTCTTTTAGTGAAAGAATTTTTTAATTAGGCAAGTTGGATTTGTTTTTTTTTTTTAATTTCTTAGAGGGAGGCTTTTAAGGGCTTTTAGTTCACCAAATTAGTAAAAACACCTGTGATCCAGAGGACTCGAATTCGAGACATTTCACTCCTCACATAAGTGAGAAGACCAACTAGTCCATCGTCTGATTGACAAACAAGTTGGATTTGTTGATAAGTATTTTAGAAATAAATCTAATGAAATAGTATATTCTTAAAATTATTTAAAAAATAATTAATCTTGATTAATAAAATTTTAAACATTATGACTATATTATGATTAAAAATTCAAATTTCAACATGGTCTCGTCCTTCGAAAAAATCCCAAAATACTATATAAAGCGATGATAACAAGAAGACAGCCCTTTTGGTGAAACCCTAATGTCCACAAACGATACATCATAATTCAAGGGTTTGATTTTGGATTCAATTATAAGCACTATGTCCCCTCGTGTGGTGCTCATATATTTTTCATTTTAATATCATCATTCCTTGTCTATATAACATAGCCAACTAAAGGCATAGATAGATAGGCTATCTCTTTCATGGCTAATGGCTATTGGCTAACGAGAGAAAAGTGGCAATTTAGAAGTTTGTTTTATGGCCTTTTGAACTTGAAAAAGCTTCCCTTCATGTACACGGATTCTTCTTCTGCACAAGTGGGTGGGGTTTCAATTGCCTATTTTATAAAAATTACTAAACAAAAGTGTTTGACTTTCTGAAAAGCAGAGTATGGTCCAAGCTAGCCCAAGATAATTCATTTGAGCTTCAATCGGGAGGTGTTATGATTTATGGACCTACTAACTTTAAGAGCATATAATATAAGGTTGACAGTATAATTAACTGTGCTTCCCATTTAATTATCTAGAATTTGATTTTGGGATTAAGTCACAACAAAGCATTTATCTTCCAAATCTAATAATTTTGATGTAGATGTTGTTAAAAATATTTATTGGGTAGTCAAGTATTTATCTTCCATTTGACAGTGATAGAAAGTAATGTGATTTTTCCTTTTTTTTTTTTTTTTTTAATTTAATTAAGTGGCTTGAGCAGTTAATAATGTAACATGAATGCCTCCCATATTAATTATTAGATTCTTGATTTGGGGTGAATTAAGTCGCCACAACAAAGCATTTATCTCAAATCTAATAATTCTTGATGTTAGATGTGGCTTAAAAATATTTATCTCTTGTACTCAGTTATTTATATTTCCATTTCGATCCAGTGAGTAGAAGAAGTTAATGCCTGATGTTTCCTTTTTTTTTTTTTTATTTTTTAGAATTAATACAGGTTTTCTCTTGATTAATGTTACGTTATTACCGATTAGTTTTTTTTTTTTTTTTTTAATTTTTAGTAATTAAAGTTGTTCTCTGATAATTTAATATACCGATTAGAACTAAATTCATCATTAAATAGAGTATAAAAAGGGAAATTAGGATCTAACCTAACGGTATACTCCCGTATATTTACATGGTTGAGCTAGGTTGGAACCGCTTTCGCTTCTCCTTCCCATCTATGAATTAAGAGAGTCTAAAACCACAAACTCCTAATCATTGACTCGTGCAATTAGAAATTTAGTGAGAATCTCATAGTAGCCAAAGATTTTAGAAAAAGAAGATAATAATCATCAGATTCCATTTTGCTTTGGCCAGACGTGATGTATCCATCTTTAGACTTTAGTTATCAATACCACCACATCTAGTCGGTGATAGAATTTTGACATAAAGGTTCCACTATCAGATGAAACTATTTTTCTCTTCAAAAATAAAAATCACATATCATCATCACTCAACTAGTCCACATCTGACCTACAATAGAAAAACATAATAAGCTTCAGGCCCGACAAGTTCTTCGATAAACCAAGTTGCGTTTGCCTTCGCACTGACCCGTGGTTCGAGTTTGTTTAATTAACCTATCAAACTTGCAGGCAAGTGCTTTGAACTCCATTTCTACGTCACTTAAAAACCCGATTCAAGTTCTAGGCCGCATCTCTTAGACTATATTTGATTCTGGAGATTATAGATATGGGGATTTTGGTATCCGAAATTTTGACCAAGGAATTTCAGACGAGCCATAGATTTGGTTCAAATTTGTCATTTGACACAACAAAACGTTACTATTCCTTGCAGACCTACAATCCCTCATTTTCACAGATTTTTAAACCATGTATGAAAGGGGAGGTTTTGCCACTTATGCTCTAACAAAAGCTTCAACCACTAATTCACTACTCAAACTTACAGCAGCCCAGGAATGTTAGTATCCCAGAACAATGAAAAGTTACTGATCATGTCACAGATTAGATGATAACGTATCATTTAGTAGCAGACTGTCTGATCCCAGAACTCAGTGCACCAATGTGATTACAAGCATAGAACTTCTAGAATTGCAGAATGCAATGTCCTTAATATGATCTGGAACTTTTCCATTGCATTTTGCACAATTTACACGATAAATGATATTAAGCAAAACCAAAGATGGAGGATGACAGAGGCAAGCTCATAAAGTTTCCATATCACAATAAATACTTTTCTGCTAAAAGTGCCATCAGTACTTCTGTCAGAGAATATTACGCTTCAAAACATAAATAAAAATTTCATGATGCCAGCAGATCTATGAGTGCCTTGAGCGACTTCTCACCCTGCAATACCAGATTCTCTAAATTAGACTTCACCAAGATCCATATCTCAGTATGGAAAAACAATGCAACCTTACCGCCTTGGGGAGCGGGAAGAAGAGCGAGAACGTGAATGAGAGTGGGATCGAGTGCGAGAATGGGAACGAGAACGAGAGCGTGAACGAGAATGGTATCTTCTAGAACTGCCTCTACTTGGACTTCTGCTGCGCCGGTATCTTCTGCATAAAAAACACATACTTGATGAGCGAATGAATCGAAGATATCTCTTTGTACGTTTTCTTTTTTTTCCCCTCTTCCTGTTGGTGGTGGGAGAAATTTTTTTTAATCCTTCAAAATTGGAGGGCTCCGATAAAAAAATTCACCAAGGACTACAAAACTCACCAACCCTAAGAAAAACCAATTTATATTTAATAAGTAAGTTCTACAACTGCCTTATAGATAAAAAAGAATAGTAAAGGCCATCTCAGGTTCCCTATTCTTCTAGCAGAATAATGAATGATGATCATCGTGACTATTCCAACATGATACAACCACAGTTTTGATATTTAGATTTTGCAACACAATGGCTAGACATCAAGGCAACATAAACCATTCATTAAATTTATCAAAAAAATTAAACATTATTGCTGCATGTTATTAATTGTACCAACTATAATAAACACCTGGGCGGAGATCGACTATAGCTCCTGCTCCGACTACGGCGCCTATAACGACTTAATCTGTTTGTTTCTGCGAGTTTCTCTAGCCTCTGATGCTCCTGTTCTCGTTTCTTGGCCATTTCAGCAGCAGTATCCTTTTTAACTAAAGAAAAATAAAAAATAAATATCAGGAATAGGGACTAAAAAAAGATAAAACCCAATACAGTATACGCTTCCTCTACCTCACTTCTCCAGTCCCCCATCCTAAGGCCAGCAAATAAGAAGAAAAAGAAGAAACAAAAGCAACACAAGGGGGAAGGCAGGGTGGAGTGGGTGAGTGGGGGGAGAGGGATGTTTAAAAGAAAAGGAAAATGAGCAAAGCAGGCAGAAAGAGTAACTCCATAAATAAAAATATCAAGAAATTTTTTCTGTCTGTTTCTTGTCAATATCCAAACAAAGTTACTAGGTAAAAAGACTACATAACTACAAAAGGTTGTATTTTAGATCATACTTTGTTTGTTTAGCTGTTTGCTCATGATCCTTTTAAGTCTCTCTTGAGGAGTTTCTTTTTTTGCCCCGGGCTGCTGCTTCAAAGGCCCTAGCCCTCGGGAAGAACTTGCCTTGGTTAATTTTGCTAAAGCTGATGATGTGCTGTGGAAAAGGAACAAGTACCATCAAAATGGATAAATTATTATTACATGATAGTAAATAAAAAAGAAGAGATTGGCAATAAACATAATTCTCAAAAATTGTCCAATAACATATCTATTAATTTAAAATCCATAACCAAACGTGTCAGGGCAGCATCAATAACAATACATTATCAGATACCTTACTGCTGGTTTCACAGCTTTGGTGCTCTTCTCCTTATCAAGGGATACACCGGATGCAGGATCAATATGCAATGCCTCAAGTATGTGACCAGAAGATGGCCTGCAGAACAGCACAAGCATTAGATACAATTCCAATGACCCCATGCAACTTGGAAGTGATTATTTTAAATCCATTTCAGGGAAAAAATAAGCTTCAGAAAGGAAGCTTCCTTCCCTCTCCATCTTGGCACTTATGAAGAAGGTAACCCTAGTCCTGTTCTATTTTAAACCACAAAAGTTTTCTTCAGGTAACAAAATGGGTAAGCTGCAGCAGTGTAAAGACTGTCCAATGTATCTTTGCAAGAATTAAAGGTCGAGTGCTCCGACCGGCTCAACATATCAGCTTGAGATGGAGGAGATGATGGTGGAGAATATCCTTCAAGCTTCGGCTCATCCCTGTCACCAGAGCCTCCAAATTCAGTGATGTACTCTATTTTAGGAGTCCTTGGCTTGCTATGATGAACTTCATCAGAACGCCCTCCACGACCATATCGTCTTGAATGTGGTGAGTATGAACGCGATCTTGATCTAGACCTCCTAGAACGAGAATAAGCTTCATAAGTTGGACTTCTTCTGGGTTCCCTGCACACACAAAAGGAAATGCATTAATACTCGCATAATGACATGAACATTTTTCTCATTTTCTGACAAAGTTCAATGTATTATGAATAAAAAAAGGCTCTTTCTACCGATATGGATCATGATGGAGCACTCGAGTTCCTGTTATTCGAGCAGCTTCTCTCTCTCTTTCCCGTTCTATCTGAGAAGCTTTCCTCCTTTCCTTGCGACTCAGCTTCCTCTGTAATCCTCATATTTATTATTATTATCATTTATTACAGCAAGGCAAGAAAAAATTGAAAAGATACTATTTCAAAACTTACGATTGCAGGATCTCCTTTGATCATTTCCTTTTGCCTCTTCTCTTCCTCTTTCGCCTTTTTATCCATATAAACAAGCCACCCATACCTTTTTACTCCAAAATCTTTTGCTATTGTGTCCATTCCCTCATCATTGCTATCATCACTGTTAAAATCCTCATCATCCTCATCTTCATCGTCTTCTTCATTGTCATCAACATCAGAAAATTGAGATTCCTCTTTTCCATCACCATCATAAGAAAACCCCACTTGTGAATATGAACCCTTGCTGGAAGGAGCTTGTGCCAGCTGAGATGTACTGGATTTGCATTTGAAAGAGAAAAAGAAAAGCAAGAAAGAGAAAGATATGAGACATTATATAATTGGTGAAGCCAACTATGCAGATATAAGACAAGAAAAAAAATATATGCACCTCAGTAATCCATAGTACTGAACGCTAATAAATTCTAATATATTGGACATCATTAAAACATGACATTCACATTTCAGATGGATAAGCAAACCCAAATGAGAAATTGCCGTAACCATGCTGTTTTTTCAAACTGTTCACTTCACCCTAAAATAATTGTGTTTAAAAAGGAAATATGAGTGTGGGTCCGACACTTGAAATCAATGGAAGAAATGCTAGCAAAAATTTCAGAAAATAGACCAACTCTAGAAGCCAGCATTTATTTGTATTTGATACCTCATGCCCAGGTCCACAGCAACGTAGTAACCTACTTGTACAACGAACTACTCAGCAACTTAGGATGCAAAAATTAGGTTCAGATTAATTGAACATTAACATTTATCCAATGTAAACAAAACAACATTGTGAACATGTTAAGAGTTTTGTCTTTGGCTATCACCCCAACAGAAGTGAAAGGAAACATGATTCATTAAAAGTTAAACTTAAACTTATCAACTCAAAAAACAGTGAAAAGGGGCAGGGACAAACCTATCTGAAGCAAACGGAATAGTGGTCTTGGCTTCCATTTCTTGAGTTACATGTTGCAAACCTTCTTCATCAGTAACTGTTTTGTTTCAAAACGTGAAATTAAGAACTCTTGAATCTAAGCTTAACAATCTCAAAAAAATCTAATCTAAATTAACTCCAAATGTGAATATCTTAACTAATACTTGGATGGCTTTTTCACATATAAAATAAAATTGAAAAGATAAACGAAACCTTAGACATGAGAATAAAGACATAATTAGAAAATAAAAAAAGTACCGACATCCTCTACGTCGATGCTTAATTAAATCCCGATATCGCTCAAAATTAACAAACTCTTCTAGTTCTTCTTCTTCTTCTGATTTTTCAGGTGCCCTAAACCGTCTAGACCCAGCCTCTCGAATAAAATCAAGCAAGGCACGACCATCGAATCTGTTCAATGAAAAAACGTATATATTCCTCAATCTCAAATCAATAGCCAAAAACACTAATTAACTAACTATACACCACAAAATGAGAAAGAGAAAGAGAGAGAACCTGTCAATTAGAACATCCTGTTTTCCATTCCAGGGAATCCTGAGAATTTTAGTTCAATGTCATAAAGCTTAACTAATCGCATATCAATACATTACTAAAACAAAACAGAAGCATTTTATTGATTTAACATACAGGCCTTGCTGATCCTCTGTGGCTTGGTAGAGACCATCGTCACGGTAGGTACGGCATCTAGAGCCAATGACCTGAATAGATTGCTGAGGATCGCCTCTTCTCTTAGCCAAATACACAGCTCGTCTCTGCGCTCTCTTACGAGCCGCGTCCATCATGTCGTGTACCTTTCTCTCCGATCTTCTCGCTTCGTGCCACATCTTCTTCTCTCACAAATGCAAACCCTAATCTCATAACCGCGCGATCCTAAACAGGTAATTATTGCTTGTGCTGTTATGTTTTCTTCTACTCTCCTCTTTTTCTTCTTCTTTTTTATTTTTTATTTTTCTCTTTTTCTGTTTTGTTTTGTAGATAAAAACGCTTGGCTACGAGCTCCTGAAGATGAAGGCTGAAGGGTCTATTCTAGATCTGGGCCGCCCACGTCAGAGCCCAAGGTACATGGTTTGGCCCATATTTATAGAATTCCCGCATCTAGAAACGATGGCGTTTAATCTAGTGGTTGATGGGGCAATTAAATGGAAAGTCGTGTTTTCCGTCGGGAAAGACTTATTGAGAATTGGCTAAAACCCTCTTTCACTTGGCTATTTCCTATTCAAAACTAGTTGCAGACACGTTGATTGAACCTAATTTGTTTGACATGTCTTTTGAGAATTTCCAAGAAAAATACGGCAAAAGTCAATGAGGAAAATACTATACAATGGGAGCACTACCAAAAGGAGACACTAGAGCCTATACAGGTCTTGGAGATTAGGAAAAGAAACTTTTTGTGAGAGAAAGAAAATTAATTTATTTGACTTTTTTTTATCACTAACCAGACAAGATTATAAAATAGCAAATAGTTTATGGAAGCAAATCTAAATTCTTAAAAATATATACTTATATACATAAAAATTAGTTGCGGGGAAATCTGCTCCTGTATCTTGCTAGGAAGGTACAAAGTGTTGACCAATAATAAATAAAAAAATAAAAATCAACACGCCCCTTGTATACAAAGGAACAAGCTTTTTCATCCGTAATAACTATGTCCAGTTTTCTTGCATTCCTTTATTGCATACTTCTATTCTCAACAAAATTCACATTTTCAAATGCTGGTAAGGTAAATCATGGAGGTAAAAATTCCATCAATATTGGAGGAATTGTAGATTGCAGCACCTGGAAGGGTAGGGAAGAAAAAGTTGCCATGGAGATTGCTGTGCAAGATTTTTACAGCTTAACAGGCCATAACTTGTCTCTGCATATTGTAGACTTGTCTGGTAACTCTGCTAAAGCTGTTTTTGCAGGTAGAGAATGAAAAAAACTTAAATTGTTGCATATTATATCTCTAGATATTTAAAATTGTTACATACTATAGATTTATTTATTATTGGATACCAGTTTTCTGGATTGGAAAATGTGGTTTTCTACAGTCATATTGCCCTTATGAAACTTTTAAGAACAAGTAAGGAATTTTCATTCTGTGATGTTAAATGCAGCTATTGAACTTGTCAAGGACCAAAAAGTGCAGGCAATTGCTGGTGCCTTGACATGGCAGGAAGCTGCAATAGTAGCTGAAATGGATGAGATTAACAAGGAAGTACCTGTCATTTCCTTAACCCAACCATCATCTCCAATAGTTCCAAATAAGAAATTTCCTGTCATTGGCATGTATCAGGATATTTCTATGGACATTAGTTGCATTTCTGCCATTGTTGCTTCCTTCAAATGGACAAAAGTGAATGCTATATATGAAGGGAGAAATTCATACACAAGCAATTTAGGTGGTATAACACTCTTGTCTTCTTCACTCCGGGAAATTGGTGTAGAGCTAGAATATTTCTCAGCCTTTCCAGAATTTTCTTCTCTTGTAAACCCAAATATCATCATTCAGAAAGAATTGCAGACTCTAAGGGAGAAGCAAAGCAAGGTCTTTATATTTGTTCAAACTTCATTAACATTGACAACAATGTTATTTGAAAATGCTAAGCAAATGGGAATGATGGGGGAAGGTTATGTATGGATTATGGCTGATGGTATTGCTAATCTTATTGATTCTGTTAATGCATCTGCTATAACCTCTATGCAAGGAGTGCTTGGTTTTAGGACTCACTACTCAGATAATACCGCTTCATTCAGAGAATTTCAAATGAATTTCCAACGAGTTTCCATAGATGAATATCCAAAAGAAGATAAGAATCATCATCCTAGTGTTTATGCACTTCGAGCATATGATTCAATTTGGACAATTGCTAAGGCTGCTAAAATATTACAGCAGAAAAATGATTCAAAACCCTTGTTACAGCACATCTTGTCGAGTGATTTTGAGGGCTTGAGCAGTAGAATACAGTTCCAAAACTATAAATTGGGAGATAAACCTACTTTTCAAATTCTTAATATAGTTGGTAAAAGCTATAGAGAGATAGGATTTTGGTCTGAAGAACTTGGTTTCACTAAGAACCTTGTCAAGCATGCTAATGGCAAGAACAAAAATTTGACTGCCGAAGAAGGTTTAGACCGGGTGTACTGGCCAGGTGGAAGAACCTCTGTTCCAACTGGATTTTTAGAGACTAAAGCGAAAGAACTGAGGATCGCCGTGCTAGCTAGATCCACATGCTCACAGTTTCTGAAAGCAAACCATGACGATAAGCAAAATATAACATACATCACTGGATTTTCCATTGATGTTTTTGAAGCTGCGGTGAGACGTCTGCAATATCCATTGATGTACAACCTGTTTCCATTTTATGGCTCTTACAATGATCTGATAAAGGAAGTTTCTAACAAGGTAGTTTTCCATTTACCTTAAAATATGCTAAATTAATGATGGTGAAGACTAATTATTTCTGTTAAAGACTTTTGATGCAGCCATTGGAGATATTCTAATAACTGCAGACAGGAACCAGCATATAGAATTCTCACAGCCTTACATTCAAGCAGGCCTTGTAATGGTTGTGACAATGAAATCAGATGAATCACTCCAGTTTTGGATGTTCATGAAGCCCTTCACCAAAGGAATGTGGATATTAATGGCAGCTATGACACTTTTTACTGGTTTTGTAATTTGGTGCCTTGAACATAGAATCAACTCTGATTTTCGTGGTCCACCTAATAGACAAATTGGAACATTGCTCTGGTTCTCTTTCTCAACACTTGTTTTTGCACACAGTGAGTAGCCGAACTGAACTACACTTGCATATGACAATTTAAGCACTGGTTCTGCTTTTCTAAACCCATTTCCGTTGTTTTTGCAGGAGAATCAATCAGGAGCCAATGGTCTCGTTTGGTGCTTGCACCATGGCTATTCCTTATCCTAATTGTTACCTCAACTTACACTGCTAACCTAACTTCACTGCTAACAAATCCCCAACTCGAACCATCAGGAACAGACATTGGTTCACTCAAGAGGACGAGGGCAACTATTGGTTGTAATGGAAATCCCTTCACTTTCTGGTATTTAGAGAAAGTTTTAGGTTTCAAAACAGGTAACATCAAAACCATAGCTTCAATTGATGACTTCGCAAAAGCCCTATCAAGTGGAGATATAAGGGCAGCCTTTATGTTTACTCCCCATGCTAGAGTTTTCCTATCAGAATTTTCCACAGGCTTCACAATGACAGGACCAACTTACAAGCTCACTGGTTTTGGCTTTGTAATATCATCTGTTCCTTTCTTTCTTACACTTTTTGTTATGCATTATTTTTTTTTTCTCCAAGTTCTAATATTTTACTCTCTATCAGGTATTTCCAAAGGGATCCTCCTTGGCATTGAATATATCAGAGGCTATAATATACTTAACCCAGAGTGGAGAACTGCAGCAACTAGAGGAACAAAAGCTCTCATATTCAAAATACTCAACTTCACCATCTACTGCCAGTTCTGGAACTCAAGGTTTAGGTCCAAGGCCTTTGGCAGGTTTATTCATTATCTCAGGCAGTGTTTCCATTTTTGCATTGATCGTTGTAGCAATTAGTCTATTGAGAAGCCACTGGGAGAGTAGTCTCACATTCATTCAAACAATGTTAGCGGGTAGAGCATTTTGGTCATGGCTTACAACCTTCTTTGCTAAAAACGACCTGCTCCAACTTTAAATTCTTCACATTCTTTTTCTATTAGATTTTCTTTAAGGAAAAAAAAAAAAAACATAAATTGTAGAAAGTTTCTAAAGGATTTGCTGTATGTATGGAATACCATATTAGAATGAGAAGAAAATAAAAGATTATATATATCTATATATATATATATATATTTGCATTAGATGGTGTAAAAGAGTTGGCAGAGGAAAGAAAGAAAAAAGAATTTATTAGAAAAGAAAGAGATGATGGGATCCGGTATTGGTTACTCCACCAATAAGACTTTGCCCGTTATTACAATTTTTATTAGTGCTTGAAATGCTAAGAATCATCCTAAATAAAGGCCATAAAGAGCACTAACATGATATTTTCATATGTTAGGTTGTGACAGCAAATTTGTCTAGTAGATGTTTTATTGTTGATGCATCTAATTTCTTCTATTGCCACAAATACGTCACTTACCAATCAAATCCTAAAGAAAATCACTAACTTCTATAAAATGATGACCAAATTCCAACTTCTATCAAAATAAATAAATAAATAAATAAATAAAACTCAAACTTTGATATATTTGATTATCGTACATTTCAAAAATTCAATTAAATACTCTCTCTCCTAAAATATGAGTCATTTTAGAACTATTATTATTTAATATTGATTATATGAATAAAATTATCTTTTAATCATAATAATTATTATTTTTTAATTTGTGATATTTTTTTTGAATGGAGGGATTAATTAATTAATTAATTTTATTATTAATTTTTGCGCCTTTAATGTTAATAATGATAAGGCATGGAATTAATTTTGATGATGACGCGTATGATAGATTTGTTTTCAAGATATACATATATAATTATTTATAGCGCATAATATGATTGCAATGGTCATTAATTAGCAATTTTTACATTAATTGGGTTATGCCGACCAATGTGTACAGTTCTCGAGATCCAGCTAGGTTTTTCATATGCAAAATGGGACACACATGGTTAAGCATTTAAAGTGTCACTAACCTTTAATTAACATGGTTTAAACAGTGTCAAAACAAAATCATTTAAAAAGAAAAAGAAATGCTCTTTTTTTTTTTTTAATTTGATGGGATTTCAAACTTTGAAATCTCTCAATTTTTTTTTTTAATATATGAGAGGCCCAATGGACCGTATTAACATTGTGTACCTTTTAAATAATATTTACCAAATTGATGATAACCTTTTGTGACAGAGAGGTCTCGAATTCTCTACCTCTTTTATGAAAAATAGGAAGACCAATTAGTGAAATCTCTCAATTTTGCTTTTTTGTTTTAAGTTAGAATGTATCCATCCCTGACATTTTCTAAGCAAATTACCCTTGACCGTAGACCATAAATTTATGGCAAATCCATGACCACAAAACTAAAACTCATTAATATTGCATTTCATTATTATTATTATTAATCTTTATTGCCATTAATATTTTTCATATGATTTGAAAAATATTTTTTAAAGTTGGAAACAAAAGGAATGATTTTCTAAATTAGTTAAAAGTATTCTTGAATCAATTTGAACATCCATAAATATTAGATAATTTATTTGAGATAATATATTTAAAAAGTATATATTTTTTACCTTGATTAAAAAAAAAAATCCAATAAAAATATATCAACTCAACCTAAAATTAATTAGATAGTCAGAGTATTCTTAGCATTTTCCCAAATATACAGAATTTTGTTTCTTGCTTCATTATAATAGCTTTACGCCGGCAATCGTGCACCAAGAAAGTAGAAAGAAACGACTCATTCTCAACTCAAGTCGCAAGTTACAGAAATTCAGATTCAATTTAATTAATTATGTCAGCAATCTTCCAGCAAGTTGCTTTTATTAATACAATGCATTTCCTTGACAGAGAGCCGCCACCATCTCTTACGTTCCAAGTTCAATATTAACCTCTAATCCAAGTAATTAATTATTTATTCTAATTTTTTTTAATACATGGTTTAAATCTAATCCTGCTTACACAGTAGCACGCCCATGAGAGAAAAGTCTAATTCTTCTCACACTGAAGTTTATAATTTTATTAGCTAACTGACTAATTTGAATGTTTTATCGGATAAACTTATAAAAAAGAAAGCAAACCACTCAGTTTAGAGTTTAAAAAGATTACATATTCAAAAATTTATCACAAAGTCTCTTGTTTCGGAAAAAATGGATGAGTGTCATTTTTTATCCACGGAGTACTCTTAATTATACATTAATTCAAGTGATAAGCAAGAATATAATTTTTTTAAAAAAAAGTAATAACTGATAAGCAAATCCATGACTCAGTCTTTTTGTTTTTTATTATTTTATTTTAATGAACAAAAAAACAACAATAATTAGGGTAAACAAAGCATCCATGACCATGAAGGATATGCGTAGCAGCACAGAAGCAAAAAAAGACCCACTTCTCGTCAACTGAAAGCGATAACATAACATGACTTGACTTGTAGCCAATCTATGTGTTTACTTATTATTTTATTTATGCATTTACTTTTTAATAATTACATTTTTTATTTTATTTTTCTGCCACTTATATGTAATAAAAATAAACAATTGACTGTTGCTTGATAGGTTACGTATGGGTCGGTTTTGATCCAAAATTAGACTCGGGTCAAACCTGGACCAAGGCAAAATTAATAAGTATTTCATTAGCCGACTAATTATTTACATCCACATATGCTTTTATGTTATTTTTATATTAACTTATTAAATCTTTTGAAAATCATATAAAATTTGGTCATGTTGATATCAATTTTATATATTTTACGACTTTGCAAGTAGGGCATTAATAGACAAATAATCTTCCTAGTTTGTATACTGAAAAGATAACATTTCCGATTTTCTAAAAAGGATTTACATTTTAAATTTTGAGGAAAAGGATTTTCTGAAACGAATGATAAATATAATAAACAATTATTGAATTAACTAGAAGAGTAATTCACAATCCATTAAAACAGAATAAGCAAATTGTAATTTATAATTAGTTTTTCTGTGTTTAGAATTATAAGTCTAACAGATGTAACTAAAATAACAATATTAATATACAAAACTCTTTATTACATTATTATTTTCAACAAACTATCCTGAATTTGCTCAACAAATTAATCTTCTAAAACACCAAATTAATAATCAAATAGTAAAAATTTGGTTTATTAATTAATCTTCTACGAAAGCAAAAATTTTAAAAACTTCTAAAGAAAGGAAACGACAGCTCATCATGACATAGACCAACCAAAACAAAGTCCCTACTAGGCCCCACCTCCCACCACCTCACCACCATATAATCCACCCTATGCGCGTTACCCTCTCTCCAACTTAAAAAAAATAGAAAATTGTTTAATTTTCTTTAGCCATAGCGCTCTCCAGCCCACCGGGCGAGGTCCTCCGACCTCCGCCGCTCTCCCCATCCTCTGGGGCTGTGCTGACGATGTCCCTCCTCCAGCCCCACCAGCCACCACTTCCGCCACCTCAACACCAGCAGCAGCCGCCACCGCTAGCCCAACCGCCATCATCGCTGTATAAACAGCATTCTTGGTCGCCGGATATTTACCGGGACGAGGCGTGGCTTAAGCGAAAAGGAAACTGTAAGAATCGGAGAAGCAAGAGCGTTACAGATGAAGATCTTGATGAACTCAAGGCTTGTATTGAGCTAGGTTTTGGATTTGACTCGCCTGAAGTGGATAAACGCTTGTCGGATACTTTACCAGCTCTAGGTCTATATTATGCCGTTAACAAACATTACTACGACTCTGTTTCCAAGTCTGCCACAGCGACGTCGTCTTCATCCACCGCGTCTGACTGTGACTCACCATCTCCACTTGGTAGCCCTCACGCAATTTTGGGTCCTGGTACGTAATACATAAATTTTCATTTTAATAGAAATGAGTTCTTTGTTTTAAAAAAATTATTTGACAGTAATATTTGTTTCTCGGGAAAATTTCAATACAGGTGATAATCCTCAGATGGTGAAGACAAGGTTAAGGCAGTGGGCGCAGGTGGTTGCTTGTTCGGTGCGGCAATGTTCTAGTTCAAGCTAGCTAAGGTTTATTCATGGTTAAATGGGAACCAAGCTAGAGTTATCGAAGTAGCCAAACATCAACGTCAAGATTCAACTTGTCCGATACGATAACGATTCCCTTCACTTCCTTTCCTACCCGCTCTCATTTATGTTTGGTTACAGATATTGAAAAGAAAAGGAAAAAAGGGAGATGAGTAAGAAGAGGAAGAAGGAAAGGAATATTTTGAAAATTAAACCCCACCATTACTAAGGCAAAACCCAGCTAATAATAGCCTAATATACTACTGTTGATGGATTGACCTTTTTCCCCCTTTTATTACTTGTTTGGTTTTTGATTATTATTATTTCATATTTTTAATTTTTCTGATTAAGTACTTAATTAGTTAATTAGGTTTAATGTGTGCGAAAAGATTAAAAAGATGCATGTTTGTGTCTATGTGCCGATTGAAGTAGGAGGGTGTTGTTGTAAAATTGTAACTTTGTGTTAAAGAGAAAAGCTAAATTAAGGAAACAAATGGTATAAATTAAAGCTACTTCTTTATTTTCATAAGAATGAGAATTGAGAATCTGTTTAAAAAATCTTGATAGATACAACTTGTTTGATTTCTTTCTTTGATTGGTAACAAATCCTTTTCTTTCTTCAAAGGCAAGGTATTTCATATTTTACAACAGAAAGTTGAAATCAAATTCAAAACTCTTAAAAGACCAATAAATGGCAATCAAACATAATATAATCGAATGTATTTATAATAGCGAAATTATATTCAAAAGAAGAGTTTTTCTCTCTAAAATTTAATGGTCTAACTTTCTTGATTTAGACAATAAAATGTTTGTCTACTTAAATTGTGTTTATATAAAACATTAAAAAATCCGCAGGTCAACTTAAAGTCAAGACTTTTGCAACAAACTTGCACTATTGATTCATGGATCTGGAACTTACTAGAACTAACGGTCGTGTGTTAGAATTCGGGAATACGAAGTGGTCGCCTCTACTCTGTACCAAAATGTGCAAAGGTACAGGGGGTTGCAGGTACATGTCAGTTGACTAATTGAAAGGGGCAAAATAGGTACAGAGCCAAAAAGTGCAATAGATATGCGATGGCAACTGGCTGCAATAGGTGCCACTAAACTTGGTCTCCTTTCCTTTTCCAAATGTTGTATCACAACACACCAAAATCCTAATCAATATTTGGTCCATTTATTATTTGCCAGCTGTCAATGTAGATTTCTGACTTTTTAAAACAAATTCCATTTTGATTGGGATGCTTGAATTTTGATCAGCAGTGCAAATATCTCAGGCTTTTTGAATTTTCTTTAAAAAAAAAAAAATAAATAAAATGGGTGCCTCTGGCTATCACTGGGCCACAAGTCCTTCATTTTCCGAGCGGATATGATCCATTTCGGGCCAATATGGACCCATTTGGTCCCCTACCCTACATAATGAATTTCATCATCAATGGGCTAAATTATGATCGGGGCCCAGTGCTTATATTCCTCATGCTGAAGCCTTATTTGTTTATTTACTATATTAGCAGAAACTAGAAATTCAAATGCAAACTGTTTGTTTTTCATCTAAAACCAAAAAATAACTTGGTTAGCTTAGACATGTCTCTTATTTTCACGGGGAAAGACTTATCTACACTAGGGGGTATGGAACTACATATACATTAAACTAATGACACGAAGTATTTTGATTTAAAAAGTACAAGAAACATATATATTTAAGTAAAAAACAATGGTGGAGTCGTAGCAGAAGTCACCTTTTTCACATTAGCTAGATGAAGAAAAGGTACGCTATTTAGCTGATAAATAGGAATCGAATTGCATAAACCAAACAATCCTGCTTTTGTTAATTACGAATATTAATTATTTCCGCTTCATAAGGCTTTGATGGCCCAGATTTTAGCGTCTAGAAGCATAACCAAGTCAAAAATTTCAGCTTTTTCATAATAAAATTGAAGTTTACAAATCAAGCTAGGACCAATCGTAATATGTATATGTACAACTAGGTAAGTCCAACTTCATTTAGTTAACCCCACATCTTTTAGACAACTGAGTTTTCGATTTAGACAAGAAATTTTGAGGTAACTTTAACTTATTTTTAATAATAAAAATAAAAATAATTATTATCATTAAAGAAAAGAATTCAGCGGTGGGAAATAGCCAGAGAGCCCACAGAAATCCATTGGCATGGTACAAGAAAGAAAAGTTGCATGATTTGCTCAAAAATAAAAAACTTTAACTAATTCACAACTTGGATTACTTTGGGTTGTTTGTTTGACCAAAACATAATTTGACCCTTGCATAATTACATTTCTACATTTTTTTATTAGCAAATTTTTTATTTTATTATTAAAATCCAAAAAAAAAAAATTTAACGTAACAAAACATCTAAGTCCCGACCATCAAACCTCTCCAATACACTCAATTTATACATTTGTAATCCCCAAATTGCATTATAGAGGAGCTCGCATTACCAATCCAAATTGAATACTTCTCCCTCCACTAATTTAGGGTTGAGGAAAGAAACTTCTAGTCTCATAAATTTTCAAATTCACAAAAGCAAAAAAAAAAACGTGTACATTATATGAATTAAAAAAATCATTTGATTTGAAGGTGGGAGTGGCAGCTCCCATATATAATTTTTCTTTTATAAATTAATATTGTAATTTCCATTTTAGCTTTCTTTCTACATTGATGGGCTACTCTCTTTCTGTTGAATGAAGACCCCATGCATGCATATATACAGACTTTGTGGAAAGTTGCGGCAGAAAATGACTTCCATTAACTTGTTTTCTAACCCTAAAAATTAAAAGGCATTATGGTGATAAGAGCAAGAATTAATTAATCTTATTTAGTTGCTTTTTTAATCTTTAATCCATCGTTTTTACCCATGTTTAATAAGTGATTAAAGAGAAAATATATTTAATTATTTATATGTAATTGAGCTGATTTTTATGTAATGATCATGCTAAATATTCTGTTTCGATAGAAGTATTAATCACAGTTGTTTTTATATTTATATTATATTTGGAAAACCTTGATATTCAAACATTAATGGCTGCCACATGCTTCACATAGGAAGTTTGAAATGAATGATTGAATGCAGTACATGAAACATAAGGCAACTAAAATTAGTTTATGCGGTGATATGAAATAATTAAATTTGGTTCAAAATCAAAAAAATATATAAATATTTTATTTTAATATTTTAATCAAAATCAAAATGAATGATTTAAGTTTAATTGCTTTTATAAAAATAATTATTTCGAGAACTCTTTTTTTATGCCTTCAGTGTAAACAATAGAACAAACTAAACCATTAGATACATATTATATACAATTGGCCCACTCTTTAGAAGTTCATCCAAACAAGCGACAGAAGAAAATTAATATTTCTGGGTTTTGTTTTATTATTTATAAATATATAGTCTAATAATGCATATTTGGCCAGCTGCTTTGACAATGTTTACCTCTAAATATATATATATAGTTGAAGTTTGAATGGATCAAATTAAAAAATAAGCAATTTAATACTAATAATCAAACTTTAATTGATTATTAATTTTTAGCTTCTTATATATGTCCTCTAGTAAAGTTACAGCACAAAGCTCTGATCAATGATCCAAAACTTCCAAAAACACATCATCATCTCCCTCCTTCTCTCTCTCTCTCTCTCTGTGTGTGCATGGTCAGTCAGAGTTTGAAAAAATAGAATGTTGAAGGAAGCAAATTTGATTAAAAAAGTCAATAAGATTGGTGAAAGAATTCTAAAAGTTATGTATTGCTGCTAGAAAAAAAAGCAATGGTACCTTTCACATCTAAGAAAAATTAGACAGAGTTTGGCAGTGATTGGAAAATCTAAATTAATAAAAAAAAATGTGTTTTTTAGTACAATTTTGTGTTGAAAATTTTTTGTTCTTCACAAATATATATAATTCTAACCATGTGAAATTGATCAAGTACAAAAAAAGAAGAAAGAGGAACATAATTTCAAAGATAGAACATCTTTAAATGGTAGTTGATGACTTATATATATGTTGATTTTTGGAAAGTACATTTTTGTTTTCTTAGCCTCAGCTCACAAATTTGACATTCCCATGTGTAATTTTCCAAGATCTTGGTGCAATAGTTTTGGAAAAATCATCTTTAAATTCCAAAAATTTTACAAGAAGGAAAGAAGTTAATTAAGATGATCTCAAAACCCTAATTCTGGGATCATTTTGAAAGCTATATGTGTAAATAATTGATTCAATTCATCAAACACTTGTCTCAGGATATGATCATATGTTAAAAATTCAAACCCTAATTAATATTATATATTTATAATATATATGTAAGGAAGGAACTTTAGAAAGTAGGTACAACAAGACCAATATATGTTGTTCGTTTAATCTTGAAGTAGACTGTTAAACAAGTTTAACTGATCTTAATCGCTACTTTAACTTCTAATTCTGGGAACTTATGCTTGTGGAGGTGACAATATATATTAATTAGTTGATATTGGGTTCATAACATTATTACTATTAATATTATTAAATGAATATTGATATCGATTAATGCATTTTGAGGCTATTAATTTATAAAACTCAATTTAACCTTCTTCTCAAAAAAAAAAAAAAAAAAGATTAATGGTAATATTTGATATCGATTAATGGCATTTTGAGGCCTATTAATTTATAAAATAATTACCTTCTTCCAAAAAAAAAAAAAAAAGCTAAAATATGAATAGTGATTAACTGTACTATATAATTATTTATCGATTTAAAAGATTATGAGTTATTTATTATTTTAAGAATAAAATAATGAAGAACAATTATTGGATTATATCAACAAGGTGCTGATTGAGATAGTAAACGATTTTTTAACCCCTTAAGGGATGAGAAGTACAGCTTTAATGTTCGAAAAAGATAAAACTCTTGTACACTTTATAGTCCGAGGAATTTACCTCTTAGTTATATATTATTATATATTAATATTTTTATATATATAAAAAATTATTGAGATTGGATAATTAGGCAGGGACTAGAATAGTTCTCATCATTGCGTACAGTGAAACTCCAAAATTGAAGACAGATTACTTAATTAAGTAGCCAATTCTTAGAAAGTCTGCCTTATGAGATACAAGATCAATCCCCGCAGCGAGAGGCAATTTTGAGAAGTTTGGATGGTAAATGTGAATGGATTTTTTTTTTTTTTTTTTTTTTGAAAAAATAATATTTTAAATCTCTCTTTCTCTCTATATATATAGTATTCATTAGCATGTTAGGTATGCAAGCAAATGCAATACCATATTTAAATTAGGGGTGAATAAATTTGATAATAACTGAAAATTTTAATTGAATTAATGCTACTTGATTCGATTTTTTTTTTGTAATTTCAGCTCAGTTTTTTTATGTAGAAAACTGAATTAAAAAAATTAATAAAATCGAAATATTTTAGTTCGATTATTCTATTATTTCAATTAAGAGTAATTCAATTCGATTAGATTTTTTTAATGTTTACCCAACTTTAAATAGTAATCCATGGTTGCCATAGAATAGGAAAAAAATAAAAATAGTTTGACCACGAAAATTCTATAATTTGGAAGGGAGGATTTTGTCAAGCAATAAGACCCCACAAAGTGATAAATAGGAAAATAAATAGATAAATGCACATTAAGTTCAACGAATATAAATTAAATAAATGCTATTAAGGGCGGAAAGAGGCAAAGTACTTAGTTGGAAAAAAGTCGTTTTCATTTTTAATTTTCTTCGAATAAAACATTGTTGGGTGGGGTAGAAAATGAAAGGAAGAAACAAATTCGAGAAATGAAAATTTTCAAGTTTAAGACTAGTATTAAATAATTTGATTAATAAATAAAAATTTATGGTAAAATATTTAGTAAAAAAAAAAAAAGAAAGAGAGCAAATTAGCCATGCTTATGGTAAAAAAAAAAGGCACGCGCATGATATGATGTGTATTCATCTTTCTTTGGAAATGCATTAGAAGCTTCCTTTGGGAAAGAAACGACCAGGAGAACGCCACCACCAATTCGCATTACAATACTTTCCCTTTTAAAATAGTTTCTTCAAGAAACTCAGAGAGTAAAAAGCGTGTAGTTTTTGTTTGTTTCTATTTCTTTCTGTCTCTCTTATCTCTTTGCTTAATTTGAAAGAAGACCAAGTGATGTTTTTTTTTTTAATTATTATTTTCACTATTGTTCTTTCTGAAAATTTCTAGAACCCACATCACTTTGTTTCTTTATATAGTCCCGTACACGAAACCATGAGAAAAAATATTTCCCTATAGGGGTTGTGAAGGTAGTTATGGTCTTGGGTTTGTGGGTTTTAACTCAAACCACCATCGGATTTGCAGCAAACAACATCCATGGAAGCAGATAGGCAGAAGCTTTGTGATAATAATCTTGTTTGTTCTAAATTATTCTTCCTTTCTGGGTTTTATTGCTGGGGTTGGGAATTCTTAACTGCTCTTTTGCTTTTTAGTTGCTCCTTCTAAATTGAACCCACAGCCTTTTTTTTCTTCTTCTCTTTTTAATCTCAATAATTTCTTCCTCGTAGATAATACAGACTGATAGGACTGTTAATTGTTTTAGACTTGAAACGTTTTAGCTAGACTTTTGGTTTGAGTGGGTTGGTGAAGGGTAAATCGGGAAAGAAATGGCGCAAAGGTCTGTTCCGGCGCCGTTTTTGACGAAAACGTATCAGTTGGTAGATGATCCAATCACCGATGATGTGATTTCTTGGAATGAAAGTGGCACAACTTTCGTGGTGTGGAAAACTGCTGATTTTGCTAAAGATTTGCTTCCGAATTACTTCAAGCACAACAATTTCTCTAGCTTTGTTCGCCAACTCAATACCTATGTAAGTTTTATTTACTCTCTCTCTGTCTTTTTGTTTGCGATAATTGATTTCTTGATTCTTGTTTCTCTCCATTGGGGTAATTTCCTGGTTTCTTGATTCTTTTTGTTCCAAGCATTTCTTGTTTTCCCGTTGACGGTGGCCAATCTGTCTGTTCTTGTTTGTTTCTTCTGATGACTCATTATTAAAACATTTTCTTAAGTAAAATAAGTAGAACTTCTGATCCGTGTAGTAGGTGGTGATTAGTTTTTAGAGTGCATGAACGATAACCCTGGTTATTTAATTTTCCCCGCAACCAAACAGGCTAATAATAATACTATTTGATGCTTAAAACGTTTCTTAAATTAAACTTTAATTTCTTGGTGGTTTGTTGATCAATGGGTATAATTATGCGATTATGAACGTGAGGTCAATTTTACCCTGTGTTTAGACGGTATAATTGTAGTAGGTGAGGGATATAATGGTCTTTTCGATGGATAACTTCTTGTCATTTTGTAGCGTTGAGAGCAACATTCTACATGTATCCATGTGACTGGTTACAGCGTTTTTGCGGGGCCCTATGAATCATCTACTGAATTGTTTTTTTATTTATTTTATAATCAACCTATTTCCTTTAATTAAATGATTATTAAATAATGTATAAAAGTTAATACTAAAATGATTATTAAATAATTATATGAATTTCCTTTAATTAAATTTTAAGTAAAAGTACCTTTCAAAAAAATATTTTTTTGAGTAGAAGTAACTTCTTTTACATATATAAACAATAAGAATAATTTTCTAATTGTGATTTGTTTTATTTTAACTAAAATTTGTATGATAATTATTCAATTTTGAAGAAATATGTATACAATACAAATTTTTTCTTTCCGAAATTTAATTCGATTGCTACAAAAAAAAATTATAGCTTAATACTAATGTTTAGGGTTATATGTAAAAGATTTAAATTGTGCTTTTTTTTTATATAATATTAAAATTTTATAACCAATGAATTCAGTATCAGATCAATTGAAGGTAAAGAGATGCTTATGGATTTTATTATTTTATCTTTTAAAATTTTTAAATCTTCTCTCTTGATCCAAGAATGGTTCAAGTGTCAAGAATGTGATATTAGGTATCTAGTCAATCAAAATTATTTTTAAGTATATACGATTTTGTATTTATCTTTTTTGGAATATATATATTTATAATGCTGAATTATAAAGTATAAAAATTTTAATTATCAATTATAAACAGCTGAATCATAAAAATCTGATTTGGGTCAAAGTATAGAGTTTCCAGAAAATCAATTGCGTATGCGGATAGACATAGAAAGTTCAATTGGTCCGTCCAACTGCGTAACGGATTAAAGATCTCCTCATTGGCTGCTTCATCCATTCTCCAAACCTAACGTAGAACGTGTGCCCCACGTGTCTATTCCTAGCCGCAGGCTATCAAACCAAAAAGACAAGTCGCCTACAATTTGCTTTTTTTCGATTTTGACGGCAAATAAAAAATCCTTTCCAAATAAGACCTTAATAATGGCGCTTTTACATTGATCCAGTTTTGTTCTGATTAAATAAAATATAGTAAATATTATTTACTAGCTAAACTTACCTCTAATTTTACTGTTTTACAGGGCTTTCGAAAGATCGTGCCCGACAAATGGGAATTCGCCAACGAAAATTTTCGTCGAGGACACAAGGAGCTCCTCTCCGAAATCCGTCGCCGCAAAACGGCATCTCCAGCTCCAAACCAGACTCCAGTCGCCGGCAAGTCCGGTGGAGTAGGAATAGCTGCCTCGCCATCGAACTCCGGCGAGGATCTCGGATCCACCTCCACGTCTTCTCCCGATTCTAAGAATCCGGGATCGGTGGAGACGGCTGCTACAATGACGGCAACGGCACAATTCGCTGATTTGTCTGGCGAGAACGAGAAATTGAAGAAAGACAATGAGATGCTAAGCTCGGAGCTCGCGCAAGCTAAGAAACAGTGCGACGAGCTTATTGCTTTCTTGACCGAGTATGTGAAAGTGGGGCCCGATCAGATCAATCGCATTATGAGGCAAGGAAGTAGCTGCGGATCCACCCTTGATGGATTGGTGAGTGGGGCCACCGCTGGAGCTGATGATCACGATGATGACGAAAGCGGAAACAAAGATGATGAGGGTGATGATGGCGGTAAAGTGCAGAGCTTCAAATTGTTTGGGGTTCTGTTGGAAGGGAAGACGAAGAAGAGGGGTCGTGTTGAAAATATTGGGTTTGCTGGGCCCCATGCAAAGGAAATCAAAATCTGCAACTGAAATGGAAAAACAACTGGAGGTGGTGTATGATAAGATCCATGAGTGTTCCTGCAGCTGATCTTAGGGAGGAAAATGAAATAAGGATGCAAGTATTTAATCAGGTGTAATTGTTGCTTTGTTGGGTGAAAAGGTGAAAGGAAATTTAGGTGTTTTAAGTTTTTAACCCTTGCATTTCAAGTAGGATAATACTTTTAAAGTTAAAGAGACATTTTCAAGGAACTTGGAAACTTCTATTATGTCATTTAAAATGTGTTTTTAAATAATAAAGCATACGATGTTTGTTTTGTTGTCTTAACAAGTTTAAGGTTAAATTCTATTCTATGCATTTTAATTATACTCCAATTAATTGAAAGCACACTGCACGAGTTAATTTTTTTATTGCTGTATATTATAATTTATAAATTGCATTTAATATATTATTAAAATATTTATTTTTCTGTAAATTGTTTTATTAAATTAGCATATTATAGAGATATTAATAATTTAAATAATTATAAAATTTAATATTCTGCTTAGTTATTTCTATGTAGATAATTTAAACATCATACATTAGTGTAGATAATTCTATAAAGTTTTTACTATTCAAATATTTAATTATTACAAAACATAAAAATATAGAAAAACTATAATATTAAATATTAATATATAATAATTCCAAATAAAAAGTTATTCTAGTTTAATTTAATATTGATAGAGGAAGATCTCACCAGCTCCCCATAGATCTTTTCACGTAACTGAATAAAAGAATATGAGCGAGTTTCTGTGGATAATGGCCAGATTCCTCTCTAATATAGTCAGTCACATATTTTTCTCTAACTTCCAACATATATATATATATAAAGAGATAAATTATCTATGAAAATAGTTAATGACACTAAGAATTTCTCACTCAAATTAGTATCATATTCTATTGTTATCAAATATATATAGAACTAAATAGATTAAAAATAGAAAGTTTTATACAAAACAAAGTCTTAACTATTTATATCTATATTTTTATTTAAAAAATTTTTATTCAAAAATTTTAAAATTTTTAAAGACCTAATTTTTATATATTATATATAATAGTATAGACTATATATATATATAAATATCCAGTTAAATAGTTAAAAAAAAAAGAAATTCAGGTAATTTCTTAAAATAATAAGGATTTATTGTTTCATGAAAGAATGCCATACTTAAATAATAACAATATTTATATGTCCGACCCGTTTCCTGGCTCGGGACCGGCATAGGGGCAGGTAGCATAAGGCCCGAGGCGTCGTTGCTAATTCGCAACTAACATTCCATACCCTTTAATAGAAAAGTAAGCCCCATAAAGTTAACGATATAAATGTAAATAAATGATATATACAACGCCGGCCACAATTTTTCATTATCTCCAATAAAATTTAGTTCTGGGCTGTCATTATCATCACGTTCATTAATATGGGCTACTATTCTCGTGTCTAATAATACAAACCAACCGTTTATAAAAAAACGCTGGCAAGGCCGATTGGAAATACACGGGACCCTATAACTGCGGAGTTAATAAATCTGTTGATAATTATTTAATTCCAAAAATTAAATGACGAAATATTAAAGTTTTACATTAATCAACTCTGCGGAGGATATGCAGCAGCTTTCGTTGAATCCGACTGCTTCCTGTACCTGAGAGGTTTGGGTGAAAAAGACGGGGGGGGGTGAGTTTATGAAACTCAGTGAATAATATAAATACACCCCTGAGTCAAGCAAATGCCCCTAGTTTACTGAATGAACACACAACAGTCAATCATGATGATCATTAACAGCACCCACACAATATCACTCAAATAGTCAACATCACGTGGAAATAGTCAGTGGAAGTCACCGACCCCCGATGAGCGGTCCTCCACATGGCTCATCCTCTCACGTGCGCCACGGAGCCGATCCCATACTTGGACCGACCGTCTAATCCTCACTTGCCAGCCTTCATTGTCTTTTCTCTCTCTTTTCCTTTCATCACAACAGGAGGCCAACCCGGTGTCTCCATAAATCTAGTCATTCAGTGCGTCACACGGAGGCCACCCTGGCGGGCTGCGAATACAAATCAAATAATTATCCGTGCGCGCCAATAAGAGCAGCAAACTGTGAGTACAGTAACGGTACGGTGGTGACACAGGGGCGCCGATCTCCACATTTACCCGGCTCAACAGAAACCGACTCAGGACCTATACAGGATCGGAATAGTAACAGAAATCAGATCAGAGATCGTTAACAGAACAGTCTCCAAACCCATTGGGGACCCACTTACAGCCATTCCACACAACAGGCCAGTTATGTTTATAATTACACGACAAGTGTAATCAAACAATTTCTTTCAACGTATTACCCAATTTCACTCCAAATGCCCACAATTATTATGTATATTTAATGGCGTAATATATATATGATAATCTGTTTATTGTAATATGTAAATATATAATGTTTATGATAAATGTTATGCAATGCGTGTTGTTGCATTTATTTTTTACGTCACGGTTGATGGGAGAGCGAAATTCTAGCTTTGATGTTGTCCTGGAGCAAGCAGTAGATGGACCCGGGCGATCTAAGCCAAAGTAGAATTGACACAAAAAGAAATAATCTATAGACAAATATTTCTTTACTTCTATATTTTATTTTATATTCTAATTTTTTCTACGTAATTTAATCCGATATTTATTCTTTTCTGTATGAAATTTTTTTATTTCTCTAACTTTATCTTCATTTATTTCTTCTGAAATCTTATTTATTCTCTAAAATCTTATTTAATTTTTACGAATTTATTTTTTTCTATCGAAAGTTGTTTTGTTTCTACCGAAATTTATTTATCATTTCTGCCAAATTCAAGAGGCGCATCTCCCCTAAAAAATTGGACTATTACCTGTTAAATCGATCAACAATATACAATAATTCCGAAACCCAGCCATCCAAATCGGGCAATCACTCAAATTCTTGTATTCCATCCTCCGTCCGAATAACACTATCAACAATTACTTTCAACTTTAATTTCATACATTTCCACTACGTATATTAGTTATCAAATTATCCTCACTAAATTATTGTTAATACGAATCTAGCTTTAACCACTATTGTTTTTATAAATCAATGTTACGTTCACATTAATTAATCATACCTTTTGAATTAATTTTAATAACTAAAAACTTAAACACTTACATAACGTTAAATATTTTTATTAATTCAACAATTAATACTACTTAAATTAATTTCGCTAATCATAAAATTTAACTTAAACACATAATAAAATTAATTCAAGTAACTAAAATTATTAAAATTGATTTCTACCCCAAATATAATTTTTGTCGAATTTAGCTTAGATCGAGGATCGGAGCTACGCGCGCTCGAACGCAGCAAATGGCGATCTGACTGCGTGGCAGAGAGAGAATGATGAGGCGGCGCGATGAAGCTTGACAGACCCGTTCCTGGTGGTCGGAGGCGCGCTGGAGCGACGGCAGGGCAGTGGCGCGATAGATCGACTGTGGTGCTGCTCCTGTCAACTGTGCTAGCCTGAACGGGAACTGAGGAACGGTGATGGCGGAGCTACTGCGACGGCGAGCGGCAGCGAGGTGGCGCGATTGACCCGGTGCCTCTGCTGCTGCTCTGTTTCTCGCCAGAAACGCAGACGCAGGTGAAGAGAAAGGAGAAGGAAAGAAAGAAAAGAAGAGAGAGAAGGAGGAAGAGAAGAAGAGAAGAAGAGGAGGTGGCAGTGGTGGCGCTGCTAGAGGTGTTGCAGAAATGGTGAGGGGAGGGTGAAGTTTGCGCTGGATATAGAGGGGAGAGGCTTCTAGAAGTGGTTTGGGCTGATTCGATTTGATTTCGCGGCCAAATCTTGTTTTGGTTTGATTTTTCATGATTTTCAATTGGTTTATCGATTCGGTTTATCACTGACAAATGATTATCAGTTTATAATATTGTAAATAGCATTTCCCGCTGTCCTTTATTAATTTAAACGAAAATGCTTTGAAAATAAAAAAATCTCTGGTTGATTTCAGTCTTACCCCCCTTATAAAGATTTCGTTCCTCGAATTTTAAAAGTACAAAGTAACTGAAAACAATGGTGGTTGTGGCTTCTCACATTCATGCTGCAAGCTGATAAAGTTATTACAATTCACAATTTGTTGATATTGTTATTCTGAAGCAGCGTGTTAGAAGGACCATGAATCAAGAAGATGATGATAAATTATTTTTGATTCGTTCGTCAGACCGAGGAAACTAATTTTATTAAAATTTACGAGACAGACGCAATGCGAAGCAAATCGTAAGTTTTATAAGGGAGGGTAGGATGATTATGAGATGAATCTAGCCCAAGTTACTACTTGTATTACTCATTTGCTTATTTAACCTTGAGTGTATTATTCTACAAGTCGTCAGAATTTCAAAGCCTAAAGCCACAGATTCACCTAATATATCACCTTTAACGTAAGAATTTTAATCCTTGATAACGAATACTACAATACACTTTACTCTACTAAGAAGTGATTACTCATAAATAAAACTCACTTCATAAAATAATTCTACCAACAGTATTACTTATGGAAAATACTCATCGTCAATTAATATTCCAAGTCGCACCAAATCATTTATTTATGAAACCTTGTATGTATCATTTATGTAAATGTACTACTCAAGATATATATATCTCATGCAGAAAAGTGCTTATCTCCATAGTTATAATAAATTCCACCAACCAACATCACGTAAACTTCATCAAACAGATATGCTAAAATCAATATTCTAATTAAATAAATCCTAATGTCCTTGAAACCATCTGTTTTACTTTTCAATTACACTATATTCATTCTCAACAGTACGCCCTTCTCTAGACACACTAACATACACTGCATGCATTTTTAGATGTTCCACAGCTTCAACACGTATTAAACTAAAAAGCACATTTCATCAATCTAACTTCAACTTATTAATCCTATTAACTCTATCTTCTTACATATTATTACATATGAATATTATTATATTCTGGGATGAGTAGGATTTTTGTTAGTACATCCGTTGCATCAAGTAACATAAATCATCTCATCTAAGAAACAAGGATACAATTTTACTCCATATAAACAACTTGACTCTAACTGATTGCGACGACGACGCTGAAGACGAAAGCAAGGAACGTATGTCAAGACATCTGACAGGAATTACTGCAGTTTCATCTAGAACTTATGAACTTTTGCTTAGATACCGACCTTTGTCACGACCCGTTTCCGTGGCCGGACGGCACTAGGGCCCAGTGTAAGCTAAGGACCCCGAGAGCCCGTTAGAGTTAGC